TTTATTTGACAGAGACAGCGAGAGAGGGAACACAAGCAGGGGGAGTGGGAGAGGGAGAAGCAGGCTTCCCGCCGAGCAGGGAGCCCGATGTGGGCCTCGATCCTAGGACCCTGGGATCATGACCTGAGCCGAAGGCAGCTGCTTAACCAACTGAGCCACCCAGGCGCCCCGCCCCTTCTAAATCCTTACGTCTACTTTTAACAAGACCTTGAATGGCAAGTTATTTTAAAATGAATAGTAAATGTTCCACATCCAAACTGAAGTGTTCTGGAACTTCTGCAAACCAAGCATCAGACTCCTTGCACGTGCCATTTTTCCAGAGGAGAGGTTTTAGCACTCCGGATCAAGAAAGACGCCAAGAACGCTCGCATTTGGGGAGGGGATGGGGGCGTCCCCTCCCTTCGTCCAGAAGCCTCAGGTGTCGCCAGTCCCTGTCAGCCCAGGACCCGCGTGATGGGCACGCGCACCTGAAAAACCGGGGCTGGTGCTCCACGCAGTTTTCTTCTAAGACCCGCCGCCTTTCTCTCTGCAGCTGTTCGATCCTCTGCTTTTGTATTTCAGCCTCTTCTATGTTCCCTTCTTCGAGGAACCTGGGGCAGCGAGGGGGAAAATAACGGAACACAAATTCCAAGAAAATACTGTCATTGTGACTACTCGAATTGTGTCTAGAACTGGAGATTCAATATGCTTCCCTATCCATAAGAACCCTCTCCAACCCTAAAAATGGTATTTTGCGGTACTTAGGGAAGATATTCTTTGTGGAATTGGTGATACATACGTGGTTCAAAAAATTGTATCTATAAAAAGGAATTTGTCCCTTTCGTCCCCATCTCTCATCCCACCTGCTTCCTCACCACTCCCTTTCCCGGGAGCCTCAGAACACATCAGACTGTTGAATCTTTGCTGGCTGGTAGGTGAAGAATTGGTATGTCAACATGTTTTTAAACATATGCATTTCTTTCAGTGAGACTGAGCATCTTTTCATATGTTTATGAGAGAGCTGCAGTTCCTATTTTGTGAACAGTTCATTTTCCTATGTCCATTTTTTTAATGAGTTCATCTTGATTTCTGGAACCAATTCATGAAATGAGTTGCAAACATAGATTTCTTAGTTTGTCATTTATCTATTTAATTCTGGGTATGTATATATATGTATATATACACTTATGTATATGTGTATGTATACACATATGTATATATACACATACACACACACAAAAATATAAAAAATATATTAAAAATATAAAAATATATATAAATGTATATATATTTTTTTTACTTTGCCATGAAGAAGGGTTTTTTTTTCTTAAATAAAGTCAAATATATGTATATTTTTTTCCTTTCTGGGTTTGGAGTCTTAAATTAGGTCCAAGGGCAGAGATAATTATGTCCATTTTACAGAATAGGAAACCAGGACTAAGAAAGTTTACACAGCTTATTGCCAGCAAACGTAGGATCAGAAGTTAGATTTTTATGCACCAAAATAATTTAAATCTGAGGGGTTAGGGAGCTGGGTGCTTTTCACTCTTTCAGATACACAATAAGTTCTGTATTATTGGATGCAATAAAACTCTTAAAAATAAATACTTTTTTGGATATTTCGATTGAAATAAGCCTCTACTGATGAATAAAGGTCAGGCCACCCGTAGAATTAAGCTGGGCTCCCTTCCTTCCAGGACATGATTGCTGCAAGGCCCCCGAGGCCTCTACTCCTGATGACACTGTCTCTCTCGGGCACCTCTGGTGGTCTGGGAGTTGTTAGTAAGACTTTTCATAAGGAGTTTTACATCTCTGGAGATAAAGATCTTTTAAAAAGTGCTTACCTTTGGTCTGGTCTAAATCGAGTGTCAGTAGGTGGTAATAAAGACTTTGACAATGGGTCCATTTCATTTAATTCCAGGGCAAACTGTGTGAAGCCATAATATTGCTCATAGCCCTTTGGCATGGGATCTAAAAGAAAAAGAAATCATTCATCTCTAACTTGCCTTCCATTTACATTACATTTTAATTCCTTCACCTTTTTCATCTCAGATCAGCTATAATTTTTCTCTCTCAGCTCCAAATCCTCCCATTTCTAGTAAAGTATTCTGGCTAACAAACTGGTGGTGAATGTTCCTCTATAAATCTTTTTCTCTAGAAGTTTTCTTCTACCTACAAGGATCAGACCTCTTTTGTGTGGCCATGTAGGGAATTCATGTAATGCCATTTAGTTTTTATACTGTGTAAGCTATAAAAATAATTTGTTACAAAAATAAACACGTTAAGGGGC